TTACAGGGGATTCGTGAGCCACTCAGGGCATCCCGGAGCAGCGAGCATTCATATATGACAAACCTCAAGTCGTGTAGGTGCCTGGACTAGTCAGCTAGGAACCTGGACAGTGGGAAGGGGTCACATAGTCACCAGTAAGACAAATAAGGTGACACCTGTCATGTCTGGTGAATTTTCAGGGAAAGGAGTTTCCTTTAAAGAGGTTTTCTTAAAAAAAAAAAAAGATTTATTTTTATTTTACATACCTGGGTGTGCTGACCGCCTGCACGCAGCGCATGTAGTGCCTGAGGAGGCCAGAAGAGGGCACCATCCGCTGGAGCTCAAGTTACAGAAGGCTGTGACCACCATGCCGGCGCTGGGACCCTAACCACTGAACCATCCCTCCAGCCCCGAACTTCTTCTTTTAAATGCAAGGAGGGTCTACACTAAAGTCACCAGGGAGCCATGTGTCCTAAGTGAGGTTGTGCAAGGCTTCCTGGCGATGAGAGCGCCCTTCGCCCCACCAGGTCTGGCTCTCACCAACCTGGGGTTCAGCGGGGACTGGCTGGAGGCTGGATGACAGGGCCAGAAAGCAGAGGGCTGGTGCCAGCTGCTTCCTGAATGTAGGGACAGGTCAAGACACAAGACCTTTTAAAGACTTACTTTTCTTCTGCTGTACGATGATACCTTACCACCCTGAGACGGTGAGTCCCCACAGGCTGGGTCTCCCTCCTTGGCTTCCTGCAGGCTGCCAAGGTGCAGTTTGGAATCTGAGCAAAGAAAATGTCTGTGTTGCAGCTCTAGCCGGAGGTGGGCAGGGAAGCGCAGCCACTATAGGGATGGCTTTGTCTTCTGGGTCAAGGCAAGTAAGTCCCTTCCACTTTCTCTCTCTCTCTCCTCTCTCCCTCTCTTTTCTTCTCCCTTCCTCCCCTCCCTCTTCCTTTCTCTCCCTCCCTCCCTTTCTCTTCCTCCCTCCCTTCCACTTCCTCTCCCTCCGTCTTCTCTTTTTCTTCTCTCTCTCTCCTTCCCTCCTTCCCTCTCCCTCCTCCCTCTCTCTCTTCCTCCTTCCTTCCCTCTTCTTCTCTCTCTGTCTCCCTCCCACTGCCTCTCCCTCCCTCCCTCCCTCTCTTCCTCTCTCTCCCTCCCTTTTTCTCTCTCTTCCTCTCCCTCCCTACTCCCTCGGGTCTCAAGGGCTGCTAGGCTGTGCCTCTGCACTGGGTCACAATGAATACGGAGCCACTGGAGCCACCGAGGAGCAGGATCTAGAAATCTGACTCCAAATTTCTCCAATGTCAAGAGCTGGAGCCCACTGTCAGGGCACCTGGTCACTGACTGCTAAAGTCTCAGCTTGGGCTATGGGGTCAGTTGTGACGCTGAGCAGGCAGGGACTCCTGGGCAGTGCGAGTACCTTTAGCTTGGGTGTCAATTTCCTCCTTGAAAGTGATATTCAGGGCAGCAATTAGCATCATCACTGCACCGGTCCCCAGCCTGTGCCAGGAGGTGTGAGACAGGGAGCCCTCTGATGTGGGGGCACTGTGCTGGTCTGGGTTACCACCTTGTGAGGCCTCTTCACTGCTCACAATATTCTGGGGGCAAACTCTCCCCTGAAAAGCAGCAGAATGGAGCAAGAAGGCTGGACTGCCAATCCGGCGATCCAGGCAGCCTAAGTGCCATGCCCACCCGCTGAGATGCGACACAAAGGGCCCACGAGGAAATCTCCCACAATGCGGGAGCTAAACTCATCGCTGTGCTGCTTAACTGACTAAAAGACCTTCTCGGGGTGTCTGCTCTTTGCTGGCCCTGAGCAGCACAGGGCATGGTGCCAGGGCCTCGGGGGCCCTGGAGCTGGGTTGCTGGGATTTGGAACCAAGCTTTGGCTGTGTGACCTTGGTTGGGCAAGTTCCTGCTTCTTGGGGGGGGGGGGGGGGGGGGGACAAGATGAGTTTGTCACCTTTTCCTCGCAGCGAGTGCTAAAGCACGGAACAGTCGGTTCACTGCTCACCTCTCTGAAGTGACACCAGGTCACAGGCTCCTTTCTCCCAGGAACCTACAGGACCATGGGGCCTGCTGTCTCCAGCCAAGACCCGGCTGGGGGTGGATCGAGTTTGGGAAGGAAGTGTTTTGAAAACCAGGGCAGGGCGTGTTCACGTGGGCCGTTCTCAGGTTTGGGTCCGGAGGACCCCTTTGACTAAATCCGGGTATTTAGATACACAACCCGGGGTTGGCTTTAGAAGGGTCAGTCGCGCAAGGCCCAGGACCTGAGCTGCAGCTCGGGAACCTAAGGTGTGCGGAGACATTTGCATGGCTGCACTCATCGTCACAGGGGAGCGAAACATGAAGCAGCCATAACGATAATAGAGAAGCTGGACTATTCTACTGGACTATTCAATCTGGTAAAACCTTGGGCCAGGAGCAGTGGCCTGGCTTCACCACCAACTCCTCCCACTATTTTTCTCGGAATATTTGTAAGCTGCATGGCCTGTTGCAGTGTGTTTTTGTTTGTTTGAAATAAATGAAACTAACTCCCTGTGTTCTCCATCGAGTCACAGCTGGCACAGGACCAATGTCAGACCCGCCCCTCCCCACGTCTGAGCTCTGCCTCTTGGTGGGCTTTTCCGCTTCCCAAGTTTTCCACCCTGGTTAAATTTTCTTATCCTGCACATGTACTTTACAGAACAATTGAAAACAAAACAACTAACACCAACTTCGGTGAGGGCTGTCAGCATGCTACTTTAGCACGCTCCTGACCCAGGAGTGCCTTGACTCTAGGGCTGGAAACCCTGGCAGGCTGCTCCACGGGGCTCCGGGCTCCGGGGCTCCGAAAGCTGTGGTTGGCTGGCCCCTGACAGTAATAAGTCTGCTCACAGGGTCTGGGATTCATTCGGCTTGTGAGCCTCGGGAACCAACCCACTGTACTAACCCCCTCAGGGCCCTGGGCCAATTGCAGTTTCTCACTTTTATTTATTCATTTTTAGACAGCTACAGCTCTCTCCAGCTTCCTGATCAAAAAGAAAAGGCCTGGCCATGGTGGCTGATGGTACATGCCTTTAATCCCAGCACTAGGGAGGCAGAGGCAAGTGGATCTCTGAGTTGGAGGTCAGCCGGATTCACAGAGCAAGTTCCAGGACAGCCAGGATTACAAAAAGAAAGCCTGTCTCAGCAAGCAAGCAAGCAAACAAGCAAACAAACAAACAAGGCGTCCGTAAGAGAGAGGAGCTGCAAAGAAGAAAACACCACGGAAAATCTCACTGAGGCTGGGGGAGCAGGTCATCAGCACAGGCTTGCCTAGTATGTGCAAGGCTCTGGGTACCATCCCTGGCACTGAGGGGAGTGAGGAGAGCAGGGGTGATGTATAATTCGAATTGGGAACAACAAAAGCAAAAACTTGTTCTGCACACAAGAGACCAAAGCATCGGCCGGGCCCCAGTCTCTGCAGGACCCAGAGAGGCAACACTTAATCTTTGCAAAAGTGAGAATGTGGGGGTGATCTCCCAGGCTGTGAACTTAGTCTGTGTGTTGGGCCCTTGGGCTGATAAGTGGCGGAGTTCTTCCCTACGGAGCTGGTGAGAAGCTCAGAGCATCCCTTTGAGAGAAGGAACCACGCTGCCTTGCACCCAGCACCACAGAACCTGAAAAAAAAAACCACGTGGTGTTCGGGCACTGGCAGGGGTTTCCAGCCTTTTGACCTTGTGACCTGGTCATCTACAAAGCTCACACCTGCTTACCTCACTGAGGAGTTACAGGAAACACGGGAAAACAATCATGGGTCAAGCAAGCTTACGGTTTTGTGTTGGCTGAATTCACAAATTCACGAATTCACGAAGTGGGGGGGAGGAGGCTGCAGGTTGGATTAGTTTAGACCCAGGAAAAGGAATGCCAGCGGCTGAGCTGAATGCATCCACCTAGCTTCCCCGCCTTGGCGAACTGCTTGGTTTCCACTGCGGCAAAGCGGCGGCTCCTAATGCAGCCTCACTATGGGCTCAGCGCAGAGCTCGGGTCCTGAACTCCACAAGCTAGAGAGCGGCCGCGAATCGAGGTGCCTGGCCTCCACCGAGCCGCTGCTCCAGAGCAGCAAGAGGACAAAGCCTTTGAGATTTTGAAGCTGACCTTACTTATCTGGCCCTGAGTACTGGGTAGAGGAGCTGGAGTCTGAGGCCTAGGTACAAAAAGCCGAGGCACACGGTGGGCGCGCCCCACGGCTGTCAGGTTTGACTCCATTTCACCAAACCCGTTCTCTCGTGCGTAACAAACCAGCAGGGCTCAGCGGAAGGCGTGCAGACTCCTCCGGACTCACACAGCTCCCCGCAAGCGACAGACGGGAGAGCCATCTCCCACCCGGCCTGAGGGCTTAGGTTCGGCCTCCGGGCTCAGCCTCGACGGGCAGCCCTTGAGGCTGGCCAAGGACCCCTGGGGCTTCCACGGGAAGCGGGAGGGGGGAGCTGGACAGAGCTCCCTAGCTTCGTCATCCCTAAAACGGGCTGCGGCGTTAAGGCGATTCCGGATGCTGCTCTCCCCTCGACGCCCAGCGACCGTGGGGCAGGTTGGGCCGAGGTTGGGCGCCTCCGCGCTCGGTCCGGAAAGAAGCACGCGGGCGGCGGCGGCGCACTCACTTTAATGGGAAGCTGCTCCTCGGCTCTTACAGCGACAGGTAAAAACATAAATACGGGGGTGGGGTGGGGGCGGGGAGGCGGCGAGGCAGCCGGGGCCCGGGCACCCGGCCCAGGCTCCGGGGGTCTCAGGTCCGCGTGTCCGGCCTCGGGGGACCCAGCGTGGAGTCCTCGGGGGTGCCCGTGTCACCGGGGGGCACTGTCTGGGCCGAGCCGCCGGGCTGCGTCAAAGCCCCCGGGGGGGAAGGGGAATGAGGGGGACGGAGGGGAGGAGGTCCCCGCGGGCCTGCGCGTGCGACACTCGAGAGGACAGGCCCCGGCGGGGGTCCTCCCGTCCCCGGAGCCATCGCCCCGCTCCGTGAAGGTGGGGGTCGGTCCGGGGCGCCCCGGATGGGGTGGGGGGCCCCCGTCTCCCTACCAGGCCCGGATGCCGTGCAGCGCGGACACGCCCGGACTGCCCTGTGGCATCCCGGGGCTCTGCACGGCGGCGGCGGCAGCGGCGGCGGCGGCGGCGGGGTTCAAGTCCCCCCCGACGCCGCCGCCCCCGCCCCCGCCGCCGAAGTTCACGAAGCCGCCGCCGCCGGCGGGGGGGGCCGCGGGCTGCGCGCCGTGGGGGGCGGCGGCGGGGTAGGCGGCGGCGCAGCCATAGGCGGGGCCGCCATAGCCGGGGTAGGGGTAGGCGTTGTAGCCGTAGGCGCCCAGGCCCACGCCGTAGGCCGCGGGCGCGTAGGCCGCCGCCGAGTCCCCGAGGCAGGGCTTGCCGTCGCGCACCAGCACGGGCACGGCGATCCTGCGCGCGGCCGGCGGCGGCGGCGGGGGCGGCGGGGGCCCCAGCAGCTCCAGGCTCTGGTCCTGCCGCTGCCGCTTGCACTTGTAGCGCCGGTTCTGGAACCAGATCTTGACCTGCGTGGACGTGAGCTTGAGCGCGCTGGCCAGCTGGTCGCGCTCGGGCGCCGACAGGTAGCGCTGCTGCTTGAAGCGCCGCTCCAGCTCGTACACCTGAGCCTGCGAGAACAGCACCCGGGGCTTCCGCCGCCGCCGGGCCCGGGCCCGCTCCGCGCCGCCGCCGCCGCCGCCGCCCGCCGCCTCGGCCTGCTCCGGCTCCGCCGCCTTCTGCAGCGCGCACAGCTCTGGGGTTGGGGGAGAGGCAGAGAGATGGTTAGAGCGGCTCTGGAGAGGGGGGGGTCCTCGTGGGAGGTTGGGGAGGGGGCCAGCCTGTCCCGTCCCGGGCTGGGATGCCCAGCTCGGCTTGGGCTCGTCGCTGAGGTTGCAAGGCCCGACGGTGGCTCGGTGGCACACCTGGGGAAAGCCTAGGTGCAGCGGACATCTGTGCCCAGGGACAGAACGAGAGGAATCGCGCCCCCCTCTCCCCCGGGTAGTTCGGGTTCTCCTAGCGGCCTGTGAATTAGCTTTTTCTGTTGGCAAAGAAAATCCAATCATAAGGATGCTGGCGGCGGGGAACGACGTGAATCCTGTCAGGGATACTCCGGTCTGACCCTCGGGTGCTCCGCTGGTCTTCAGTGGCGCAATTGAAGCGCTGGGAGGCCCAAAGGCGCGGGGTTGGAGGTCCCCAGGCAGCGCTGGTGTTTGTGCGACCTCTACCCCGGCCCTGCATGATTCCAGTCGGTAGCAATCGATTCTAGCCCTTCTCCGATGCTCCCGGATCTCCCCTCTACTCCCAGAGAAATTCAGGAACGCTTTCCCGGCTCACGGGAGCCATGGGACCCTCCGGCTTTGCCGGGGTCCGGAACTGGGCCTGGGTCTTCCCAGGGCGTCCCCCTCAGCCGAGCAGGCCGGGAGCCCTTCCCTTCCCCGAGATGTCTGGTTAAGGGCCACCTTCACAACCCTTCCCTTCACTCCCCAGCGGCTTCATTCGCTCAGCTTTTTTCCAACTTTTCTCAGAAGAGAATTTCTGCCTGGCCCTGCCTGGAAATTGTCCTGGAAAACAAAACAAAACAAAACAAAACAAAAAACAAAACAGCGAAGCCAGTCCCAGCAATGGGGTCCACAGCGTTGCATCAAAAACACAGCCGTGTCCTCAGATGCCTCTATCTGACACAAAGGAGGCAAGGCCTAGAGAGTCAGAGTGGGCTGTGCGGGCCCTGGACCCGCCGGCTAAGTTTCTGTTTAGCAATGTTCAGTGTCTCAAAATATCCCTAAACCCAAAAGAGGTTTTTAGCTCTCCGACAGGAAGATTTGTTCCACCGAGGATTACTAGATTCACTTGGCAACAGATCCAAGAGCAAGGCCCCAAACCACCGGGGCTCTGTAGGCCGAAAGCAACTCTTTTTTTAAAAAAGTTTCTCTGTCTTTTCTTCTGATCCTCTAAACACGGCGTTTCCTCTACCCTTCCGATTGGCTGCGGAGCGGGAAGATACCGGACAACCTGGAGTCTACACTCCAAACTGCCCGAGCCCAGCCTTCAGCCCAGACGACTCGTGCCAGGCCTGGGTTTCCCGGCCGAGGGGTTTGGGTCTGAGAGCAGCGACTCCGGAGGCGGAGGGCTTGGGGTTCTCCTTACCTTTCTTATCCGCTCGAGGGTCCTTGGCCGGGTCGGGGTCGCCATAGGCGCGCGGGTAGAAGGCGGGGGCGCCTGGGAAGGCAGGGGCGCACTTGGGGGGCGAAGGCGCGGGGCCCAGCTCCGCGCGCAGCTCTGCCAGGCCGGGCGCTGCCGCCTCGGGCCCGGAGTAGGCCTCGGGCTTGAAGGCGGCCAGCATGCAGGAGGCGGGCGCCAGGGTGGCCTCGAGGCGCGCCGACAGGTCCCCCGCGGCCAGGCTGCGCTGCTGCTCCAGGTTCAGGATGTCTTTGACGGAGAAGGGCGTGGGCGTGAGCGCGGGGCTGGGGAACATGGTGGCGGCGCCGGGCTCACAGCGCCAGGTGGGCGGCAGAGAGTGGCGCTGCCCACCCCCGGGGACGGCCTCCCCGCATGGTGCCCGCCGCTCGCCCCGCGCACCCGCCTCTCTGCCGGGGATGTGGCGCGGCGGCAGGTAGCGCGGGGCGCCAGGGGCAGAAGAGGCGGAGCAGGCCGGAGCAGGAGGGGGGATTCAGCCTGCCATTGGGCCAGGGGCCTCGATGACAGGAGCGACGGGCAGTTCTGCGCCACCTAATATAGACATCGGGATAGGGGGGAAAAAATCCTGCTCAGCTCTTTTTTAAAGGGGCCGCGGCACATTTGAAACAGTCTCCTGCCCCTGCAGGAGATTTGCTCCTCGCTGGCCAAAAAAAATTCGTAGCTAGAGGCGCTCAGATACTCGATTCTGCTGTGGTGGGTCCAGGGGCAGGGTTGGGGAGAGAGTCTGGGATTTGAATAACTATTCTTCCGCACCCATCTCTGAACGGGCTAGTGAGGATGGGGTGGGAAGCCTGGGGAGGGGAGTTATTACAAGCATCGATGATCACTAAAATATCGATTACTGGAGTCTGACGGAGAGAAGCACAAAGGAGACCGTTGTTCTGGGATGATAACAAACCAATTTAGGATTTTGGCTGGAGAGGCGGGGTGTGGGGTGGAGGCATTTGATTTAACCTACGGGACCAATTTCACCCCAGGGTTCCAGGCAAGCCCCCAGCGGCGCTGAGCTGGGGGGGAGGTGAAGTGGCTAATTGTGAGGTGGGAGTGGCCACCTGCTTCGGTGGCAGCTCCTCTCCAGGGAGAACCATTCCCTGAGGAATTGACCCTTCAGTGAGGAAGCCAACCAGGGTTGGGGCTCGGCTTCCCAGGAGAGAGCTGCCTCCAGTAGTGTCTGCCTGGCGTCTCCTTTCTTGCCACCTCTCCTGGGCCTAAGAACCCCAGATATTTTCTAGCTTCCCCCTCCCCAGGGGCCTACTGAGGCAGAGGACAGGGCAGCTGGAAGGGCATTTTCAGCCCTGTGCCTGAAAACTGTCAGGGCTTAACGGAGCCCACACTCTGTTCAACAAGAACTACCTGGACCTAAGGAACACGTGGGCCCTCCCAGACCCCCACACAGCACGGTGGAGCTGTGATTCAGCTGTAATCTTAGAGAGAGAAGGTGCACCTCCAGGCAAAACCTACCCCGTGGAAGGTATGGTAAGGCGTGCCCCTGGCAGAGCTTGGACAGGGAAGGCGAAGGCAAGGGAGGATTCCTTGGCCACCTGAGAAGGGACTCTTGGAATAGAAAAAGGGGGTGGGGGTGTAAGGTCAAAGGTTAGATAAACAAGCCACTCCTAAGTCATGGGCTCAACGCTCAGAGGGGGTAAAACTGTGTCAGTGAGGTTGTGTGAGCTGTCTCTCCGGGCAGGACAGTGGGCACTGGGCGCTGGCACCAGCTGGGCCCTAGTGAAGCCAGCACAGGCCTGATTTCAGTTCCTCCCTGCCTTTCATCAAACCCAAAGTCCCAAGGCCTTGGGCCTGAAACCGAGGGAGAAGGAGGCCCCCGGGCAGGTTGAGAAGGGAGCGGTTCAGGAAGCCCAATTCCAAGCTCCCGCCGACAGTGACAGTGCCAGACTGGGGACCGGTGCTGAGATCTCAACCCAGGGCCGTTCTGAAGCAGCAGGCTCCATCCTCTGAGGAAGCCTCTCCACTCCCCCACTTTCCAGTGTGCCCCCCCCCCCCACGGTAGGGCAGTTCACAGCTTTTGCCTTTTTCCTCTGCCAAGGCTTTCGGTCACCCCAGCCTAGTTGGGGGACCCTCCTCGCTTATAAAGATTGGATTCGGTGGGTTGGAGGGTACTCTGTGCCTATCACCCAGGCGGTGATGTCTGGCAAACGAGCCACATCCGATTCAATTAAACGTCTTGCTGAAAACTGCTTGGGGTGAGGGTCCTGGGAACCCTGTTAAGTGAATCGGCTGGCCCCGCAGATCGCGATGACAGTTTGAAAGATTAGTGTGGCCGAAGCCTGAAATATTACCGTTTAATGGTGGTGGGGGGCGGCATATCGGGGTTGCATCCGGGATCTCTGTTTTAAGTTTTTTCTTTTTAAGATAGTTCTGATGGGGGGGGGATTTCCTTTGCGAATCAGTGTGGTGAGGATTTATCACCGATTTTCGGCTCTAAGGGCTCCCACGGCTGACAGATCTGTGGGTCAGGTGTCAAGAAAAAGGAAGAAACCCTTCTAATTCGAACAAAAAAATTAGTGACTTTCCCACCCCCTGAAACCTTGGTGAAAAGGCCCTGGCCTTTCTCTCTGGAGAGGAAGCGGGACAGAGTGAGATAAATAGGCAAAGCAGAACTGAGGTGACCAGGAGGGGCTTCCGCAGAGAGCTGTCCAGGGCCCCTTCCGACTTGGCTTCTGTCCTGGCTGTCTTCAAGCCAGGACCAAAGGAATGTATGCATGTATGTATGTGTGTATGTACATATATATATATATGTGTATATATATATGTATATATATGTATATATATATATGTATATATATATATACATATATATATATATATATAATTTAAACAGAATTTACAGTGGCTGGGGGAGAGGCGCATCTTTCTCCCCAAGGGCTTTTGGCTCAACCTGGCCGGTGCTCTGAGAAGCACTTGGCCAAACACACAACCTTCAGCTCAAGGGGCAGAGACAAAGGAGACTGGAGGAGACAGCTCAAACCTCGGGAGCTATTTCTTCGCCTTTTAAAGGCTCGGGCGCTTGAGGATTAGTCAAATTCTGGGGTAGCTCCAGCGCGTTTTGCGGAAAGAAATTATTATTGATTGAGAAGCGATCGGCGGCGGCCTGAGCCTGCTCCCTCCCTGCCCCCCCCCCTTTCCTGCAATCAGCAGCGCCGGCCGCGAAAAGGTATATATGATTAATTGAAAGATAAGCTGCAACTATCACCCGGAATGTCATTAATGCGCCGGGGAGACGTCCATTGGAGACAGGCGGCGTTATCCGCAGCTTTATCTTCAACAACGCCTCGCTCTCCCGGCCCGCGCCGGGGAAACAGATGGGGGTTTCTGTCTGGGACGCTCGCCCCGTGTTTATATTTTGGGAAGAATCGCAACTCTAGGGAGTCCCCGGCGGGCCCCCTGATAAATGAACATTAGCACTTTTTCGGACTACTGTATCAACAAAGGGGCCGCGGCACGGCAATAATTGGCGAGAAAGCAAACAGAGGGCCGGGAGCGCGACTCTGCTCTTCGTCCGGCTGATGGATGAGCCGCGCGGCCTCCTCCCCGCCCGGCCCGAGCTTCCTCCCCGCGGGCCGCGCTGGGCCGGGCCGCTCTGCCCCCCTCCCCGGTGACGCCCACCCCCGGCTGCAGGTACCCAGCCCTTCTCCCGGGTCCTCTCACCAGGCCCCTTGGCTAAGAGAACCCGGTTACAGAAGGGAGAGACGCGCTCAGGGCTTACCCAGGCTGGAAGCAACTGAGGCCACTGCGGTGACCAGAGCTGGGGTTGTTCCCTGTTAGTTCAATGGGACAGAGAGCAAGATGCCGCTCCCAGAGGAGGGAACCTGGGGGTCTCCCGACACTGTCACACAGGAGAATTCTGCACAAGGGGGAGAGAGAGATAGAGATAGAGAGAAAGATATATATATATATATATATATATATAGAGAGAGAGAGAGAGAGAGAGAGAGAGAATGAATCTGAGCTGTAACTTCTTCCTTTTCTCTCTCTGCTCTTCTGCTAAGGCCTTACTGATATATAACTCACTCACCACACTCCATAATCGATTTAAGAACATTTTTCATCATCCCGCCACCCCACACTCCCCAAGAAACCTGCAACTTTCAGTCCTCAACCTCTGCTCTCCCCTTCTCAGGCCCTGTCACAACTAACCTCCTCCCCCTTGACTCCGTGGGTTTGCCTCTCTTGAGTGGTTCATACAAACAAAATCATGCAATATGTGACCTTTGCGCCGGGTATCTCTCGGCTAGCGTAACGCTTCCCAGGTTCCTTCACGCTGGGGCACTTATCAGTACAAGAAAATAACATCCAGTTGTGTGAATGTGGCGTTTTTGTTTGCTAGTTCATTGGTTGATTGACATGTGGGCGTTTTCACTTTTTGCTATTCTGAATCATCTCTAGCCCACTCCTACCTTCAAAGCCTGGGAAAACCCTCCTCTGTTCTCGTTATTATCAATCCTACTCTTCTCCAGTGGGGACTGAGTTCCCGGTAACGTTCTGTTTTTGCTGTATCCCGATTCTTGATTTTTTAACAAGTTGCCGGATCTTCATTTCGGGCTGAGCTCACAGTACCGGCCAACAGTCCTGCTTTCTAGGCTGTCAGACAGAACCCAGGAAATACTAACTCTACATATTGGAGATCCTGATCACTAGCCTGGCTTTTGGCTTCCAGTGCCCAAAGGCACAGCATAGGAGTAGGCTGGGAAAGGCAGCGAGGAGCCCCCAATCCCCAACCTGCTGTTTTCAGGTAAAGCTGTTCCAGTTATAGGAAGAGCTACTGTAGGGAGAAACAGGTCGGCCTGGCAAAGGAGCCCGTGAGAGGCGGCAGGACTTCCACCTGTCTCCCAAGGACTCCAGAGCAGATGCCTTTTTGGGTGTTTGCCCCCATTTTCTCCTTTCCTTCACCCAACCGACCAGGTGGGTAAAAATGCTTGCTGAGCAAGCCTGGCATGAGTATGATTCTCGGGGACCTGAGGTCATCTGATGTCATCTGACCTCCACTAATGCATCATAATACCCATGCACTGACACACACACACACACACACACACACACACACACACACGAGAGAGAGAGAGAGAGAGAGAGAGAGAGAGAGAGAGAGAGAGGGGGGGGGAGGGAGAGGATGATCTCTAAGTGTTGGTCACGATAATGATAAGAATTTGGAATGGTTGCCTATTTTTGAGGGAGAATGAGGAGAATAAAAGATTGAGAAACCAGACAAGATTGCTTTAAAACTTTACAAACAAACAAAAAACCAAAACAAAACTCATA